TGAGCTTGATTAAACAACCCTTATGTATTTGCATCGGTACACGGCTCCTGGGTGGTCTTTGGGGACCCTGAATTCTGGGCATAACAAGATCACCTAACCCACTACCACCGAATTGATTCTGACCCATGTCAGCCCTACAATGGGTTTCCAAGACTGTAAATCTTTATGGGCGCAGAAAACCTCATCTTTCTCCTGAGACGTGGCTGTTGTCTTTGAACTGCCAACCTTGTGGGTACTAGTCCAGTGCTTATCCTACAGCACCACCTTCAAGCTTCTCAAATGAGTTCAAGTAGCAGGACCCCAGAAGACACCGTGAGCTCTGCAGAGCATGAGAAATGTTGGGCGAGTACATATAAAAATATCCAAAGACTCCGTTCATGCTGACAGCATGAATGTTAATAGCAATGCTAAACACTCCAAGGAAAACCGAAGTGAAATCTTTTCTTATGAGAAAACTCTCCTTTGTTGGGTAATTACAAAGGCCAGGTGTTGGAGCCGTATTCCTCTCACACAGTCTTCACTCAACCCTTAGGCAAGCCTGAGAAGGAAGCATTTGATTCCTCTTTTATGGAAAAATGCAGCTTGGCCAAGCACTTGCCCAGGGCCACTCAGCTGGAACAGGCAGAGCAAGGCCTATCCCCAGCCCCTGAAACCTGCTCATTGGTTGTGTTTCTTTGAATTGGAAAAGAACACAGTTTCTTAGGTTAAAATGCCTAGCCCAGGGGTTAACGATCTTTTTCTATAATGTCTGAGAGTAAACATTTTAAGCTTTGTGAGTCAAACTGTCTCCACCACAAACACTCAGCTTTATCGTGGTAGCACAAGTAAACAAGTGGCATGGCTTATGTGCCAATAAAACTTTATTTATATAAACAGATGGTGGGCTGGATTTGGTCCATTGACCAGAGTTTGCTGATTCTTCATTGATCAGAGTTTGCTGACAAGACCAATGGGATGATGGTTGAGAGAGCTGGCTCTAGAACTTCCTTGGTTTTAAACCCAGATCTGTCCTTTACTAGCCATGGGAACTTGGACAAGTTTCTTAGCGTTTTTGTGCCAGTTATCTGCCAAACATATCAACGTCAATGGTGAACAAAGATTAAATGAACTCATATTTATAAAGTTCTTATAAAAGTATCTGACACATAGTAAATACTCACTAAATATTGACTATTATGACTTCCATTTTAAGCAGAAGGACTCAGTCAAGTTTACAGAGCTAGGATTCCCTAGTAACATAGGTGATGAAGCTGTTCGGGTCCAGCCCTCCCAGAGCATCCACATTGGGACACAAGACCACCATGGAGGTCCACCAACCCTGCCACGTACCTGTGCCGTCAGGGGTGTCACACACATAGGTGGGCAACATCTTGACAGGGGCGCTGGCGTGAGTATCCTTTCTCAGACCTCGTTCCATTTCCACTTTCATCCTCCTCTTGATCTCCAAGAGCTGCTCGTGGCTCAGCTTCAGAGACTCAAGGGTGTTCTGCCGGGCTCGGTGTTGGTCAGCCAGGCGGTAGGCCACTGCTGTCACCATGGCCGCCCCCTTGCCACTGCCATCCTCGGAGCGGAGAAAGCGAACGTCGCAGTCGGGCACCAGGCGCCGCACAGCTTTATGAAGACGCTTGGCGAAGCTGCAGTCACCAAGATGGGGAGACAGGAGTCCATGGTTAGGGTCAGTGGAGTGTCTGGTTGGGTAGAAGCTAACCACCACAGACCAAATGCCATGAGCATGTGTAAGAGTAGATGGTGGCCTAAATATATCCATTCCCCCTCCTCCCCAAGGTAGGGGAAGTCATGGCCGCATAAACTGTGATGACTCTTACTGGGATTTTTGCCCCCATGTTGAAAGGAAAGGTCCTTCTAAGAAGCTACTATCCCCTGCATGAGGTCACGTAAGACTTCCCTTCCTAATTGAACTGGCCCATTCGCTCCCCTATCCAATATGGTACAATTGGCTTCTTTTGCTGTCGCTGCCTAAGTGCAATCTGGTGATACCAGCTTCACCCACTTTCCACATTTCATCACTGTCTGGGAAAGACCCAAAATAGAGAAACTAGAAATGGTCTTCCTCTAGACTTGGTCCTCCTCTCTCTAGCTTCAATCAATTTCTACCAATCATCCTAAAGCTGTCTGAACAGCTAAGAACAACAGCAGGCTGAGCACCAATTTCTCTGGAAGGAGACTGCTTTGAGCCCTGCTCCCCGGAGTCTCTCCACTCTGGTTGTGGTCTGTGGCCTAGAGCAACTGCTTCAGGGTCTGCTAGAAATGCTGGGTAATCCTGGATCAGGTCTGCCTTTTTAAAAAATGTTTTATTGTGAATTATTTGATACTTTACATGGGAGAGCATTAGCTCTACATTCATCCTATTGTATATCATTTCACAGCCATGGTTACAATCCCCTTCATGCATCATCAACCAGTCACTTCTTGCCTTTGTAGCCCCACCATTTCGGGTAGCCAATGTCCAAGTTGCCCATCCCTGCCTACTCTGTGTATGGAGAGGGTGGGAATGATTCTTGCTGTAAGGATTTGTTCCTTCTTTTGATCTACTGCATCCATAGGTGTAGGTCAAGTTCATCAAATTGTATCAGATTACTCTTTTTCTCCTCTTCTTTCTTCTCCTAGGTGAGCTCTGATCATCCAGTCATTGAAGCCAGGTCAAGTGAGTATTATCTGCAAGTGTGGGTATCCTTACGCATTTGCCCTCTCTTCTTATCAGCTGGACACTTCACTCTCCACTCTAGTCCTCTGTGGCTATGTCACTGACTCTGTGCCCAAGAGTCCCTAGGTCTTGCCACACTGCTGACCAAGCAGTCTCCACCCGGCTTCACAGGAGTCTAGTGAACGTTGTAGGTCTTGGCTAGCAGCTTCAGTGCTGTTTTTCCCTCACTTCCCCTTATTGGTGGCGAACCTGGTAACCAATCAGAGCACATGTCTGCTCATGTATTCCCATTGAGTCTTAGTCTTAGAAGGTGGTTTGCCTGAGGTGACCCGACCACTTGCCTTGATGTCTCCTGGGCGAGCAACTTGCTTGTTCTTGTAGTAGTCAGTTGGACTGACATTATTGTTTTGTATGTTTCCTGTTGGTCTTTCTTTCAAGAAGTATCTTCTGTTCTTCTAGCTGCTTCAGGCAGGTCTGCTTGTCCTTTCAAGTGGAAATTTCCCACCTCTGAAGATTCTAGATGGGGTTCAGGATTCTACCTATGGTCTTATCTAATGCAGAGGCTCCAAAGGAAGCCTCCTTCACTGGGAAAGTTGTAGCCCTATTTTAGGTATTCCAATCCATTATAGGCAGAAGATGGAATTACAAGCTTACTACGGTGATATTTCTGGCTATTCCCTTCTCTCCCCCTCAAGTGTCTATTTTATAATGGTATGCCAGGGAAACCAAGATTCAAAAGACAGCCAAGCATCTTAACATTTCCCCCCCCTTTTTCCGATTCCAACCGTGTCTCAATTCCTGTATCCCAGAGCCCTGTTTTTCCAAGGTTATGCATACATCATTATTTACTTCTGTCCCACTAACTCATGCAAACCTGCCTAATTGTTCTCCCATCTGCCTTGTTCTTCCATTCCCCTCCCCCTTCTTGTGAATTGTTCCCCTCCCTAGCACCCAAACTATCCTGCGTCTATTCCGTACTCTGTGCTCCACCTTCCTCTCCCTCCCCTCACTCCATCCCCCACATCCCAGTAACCAGCAAAGAATCACTGCCCACCCCCCACCCCCACTTTAGTATGGGTTCTTTTTCTTAGTCTTTTACAGTAGTGGTCCTATGCAGTATTTCTCTTCTTGTGACTAACTAATTTCACTAAACATAATGTCCTCAAGTTTCATCCATGTTATGTGATAGCTTATAGCTTCCTTGTTATTCTTCAAGGTAGCATAATTTTCCATTGTGTGTATGTATCACAGTTTGTTTATCCATTCTTCAGTTGATGGGCACTTAGGCTGTCTCCATCTTTTTGCTATTGTAAATAGTGCTGCTATGAACATTGATGTGCACATATCTACTCGTGCTATGGCTCATATTTCTTGTGGGTAAACACCAAGTAGAGGAATTGCTGGATCATAAGGTATTTCTATTTTTAACCTTCTGAGATAATGCCATATTGCTTTCCAGAAAGGTTGGACCATTTTGCAATCTCACCAGCAATGCATGAGCGTCTCAGTCTCTCCACATCCCCACCAGCATTTATGGTCCTCTACTTTTTTGATCTTTGCTGTTATTGCTGGTGTGAGATGATATCTCATTGTTGTTTTGATTTGCATCTCTCTAATGGCTAGTCATTGTGAACATTTCTTCATATGTTTGTTGGCTGCCCAGATCTCCTCCTTGGTGAAATGTCTGTTCATGTCCTGTGCTCAGTTTTTAATTGGTTTATTTGTCTTTTTCTTGTAGACGTGTTGTAGTTTCCTATATATTTTAGAAATGAGTCCCTTGTCGATGTGTCATTGCAAAAAAATTTTTCCCATTCTATGGGTTCCCTTTTTACTCTTCTGGTGAAGTCTTTTGATGCACATATGTTTCTCATTTTTAGTACATCCCAATCATCTATTTTGTTTACTTTTGTTTGTGTAGTTTTCAAAAGTTTTGGTAGTCTGTGTATTCCCTGAATTAGTGCCCTCACATTTGTTCCTATTTTTTCATTGATGGCCTTCATAATTTTGGGATTCATATTTAGGTTTTTAATCTGTGCTGATTTGGTTTTTGTATAAGGTGTGAGGTAAAGGTCTTGTTTCAATCTTTTGCATATCACTTTCCAGTTCTGCCAGCACCATCTGTTGAAGAGACTATCCCCTCCCCATGCAAGACATTTAGGTGTTTTGTCAAAAATCAGTTGGCTGTATGTAGATGCATTAATTTCTGGATTCTCGATTCTGTTCCATTGATCAATGTATCTTTCATTGTACCAGTATCAGGTCTGCCTTTTAAAAGGTCCCCAGATGATATATGAGCACACTGGTGACTTGAAGCACTGGAGTAGGACACTAGGGAATCTCAGGGCCAGGGCCTTCTGTATTAAACCATTCAGTTAATGATGGTACCATGACCTGGTGCTCAGATGAAATGAAAGAGTTCCTCTAGGTCCCAATACCAACGTTACCCAAGGAAACTCACTAGACTAGGGTAGCCTCTGCAAGAGGGCAGGGCATCTGAAAGGACTCCCAGGGGTCATGAGAAAGTCAAAAAAGAGAAATATTAATTTACCTAGGAGTTATAAAAAAGACTCCCCCATGGCCAGATGAGCCTGAGTCGAGCTTGGCTTTCAGAAACCACCTTCACCCACACCAGAAAACACTTGCCCAGTTTCCACTGAGCAATCTGAACTCTGAGCCTTTATTCTACAATGACTCTCAAGTCCACACCCAAAATGCAAGCTGGAGCTGGCTGTGCCCATGGAGTCACTACAGTGTTGTGAGCCTGTCCCAAGGTCCCCAAGTACTCTACAGTCAGCCCAGCCCAATCCCCCAAATGTTGACTCACTGGGGGTGTTTCTTGTAGACAGACCCATCAACTCCAATGGTCGAACGCAATCGCTCCTCTCCCTTGTTCTCTTTGATGCGCCGCAACACTGCTGCCAGAGTGGCCGCACACAGGTTGGCCGAGCGCGTGGACACAATCTGGCAGATCCGGTGAGTGGCTACACAGTCCTCCTGCGTGGGGTCCAGGCCCAGGCGCACAAGGATCTCATGGGCCCTCCGGACGCCATCCCTCTCCCTGGAGAAACAGGAAGAGAGCATGTGGCATGGTGTGTAGCCTACTGTGGCCAGTGAGAGAGGGCCAAGTAGATTGGCCAGGAAAGCCCTCTGCTTCGGCACACCCCACCCCCCATGGAGAGCACACACTTACTTCACTTACTGCCACCTAGGAGAAGAGGGGAAGCACCATGGCCAAACCTGAGCATATGCTCACAGACACCACACACATGTGCATACGCACAACACAACACATGCACAGACACATCCACACACACACACAGAATGCTGCTCCACCTGCCCTCCAGCTGACCTCTTATCACCATTTTCCACATGAGAAAAATGAGCATCTCTTATGCATCTACTTTATAACGACAATGTACTGTACTTGCTTCTTTACACACCAAATTGTATGTGTGTGTGAGTGTCTGGGATGTTTGCTTGTTTCAGGGGCAAGGTTGAAGGACGGCTGTCTCTGCCACCAAACACCTGTGACCATGTGAACCCAGCGTGGGGCCCACCATATTTCCCAGGATGAAGCAGTGAGTCCATCCCCCCTCCCCTCCTCCTCCCCAGGACATCACAGATGTTCTCAAACTGGCCTCTGGTTTATCAAGTGAGAAGGACACAAATGTAGGGGGTTGGTGACCTACTCCTGAGTTACAGGTGGGATAGCATTTCACAATGAAGTTTGTATCTACAGGTGGTGGGAGAGGACGGGAGCATGGCATAGCCCCACTTCTTAGGGGATGTAAGTGCCTTATGAAAACGAGGACTTTCACCCCTCAAGGTTCAGCAATACAACAGGTACTTCTTTCCAGAGTTTCCAAGTCATTTGGATGCTTTCACCACTCCCATTAGCACCCAAGTCCCCTTAGCACCACCTGGTCCTTAAAGGAGTAAGACCTCTTCAATCTACACATGGAAATATCCAGTACAAGAAACTAGACCCCAGTCTTCAAATATTGCTAATTGAATAATAAAACCAAAAATCATCCCTCCCCATCTCTCCTGCCCCTGCCAGTCAGTAACGATACAAATTTCAGGTCTACTCCACAGAATCCACATAACAGGTAAGACTCAGAGCTACCCAAGGACCTATTTCAGTTACGAAGCAGAGATCAGGATAGAATTCTTTTTGAGACTGGCCAGTAGGGAGGGCTGGTGATCTAATGCTGAAAGTCAGTCAATGAAAACTCTGTGTATTTGAATGGTCCAATCTCATTCATTGTACATGCGGTCATCATCAGTCAGGGGCCAACTCGGTGCAGCTAAGAACAGCACGACAGTACAGCTACACCACAGACCCACCATGGCCATCGTTAGGTGAGGCCCTCTTGTGCTCCATATTTGGAGGATCAAATGCAAGTGCCCTTTCATCATTCCACAATTGCCCATCTACCCTTCCAGAGACCGAGTGAAGCGAGAGGTGGCAAGGCCGCCAGAAACTTACCCTTCAATATCTGAAACATCCTTGGTCTCAAAGCGGCCTGTGGTGAGGAGCTCCGGGCTGAGCTTCCCTCCGAAGAGAAGCTCCTCCTTACCCATCTTCACGAGGATCAGTCTCACCAGCTCTCCCATGTACATCCCACTGATCATCTTCTCAAACCTGCAGGACACAGACGCCAACCCCCAAAGGGGAGTCCCCACTGTCAATGAATTCACAACTCTGGAAGCAACACGCACACACGCAAAACTCCAAACACACGTTAGAGGTGGACGCACAGCTAAGTGCTAGTGTGTCCAGTCACCAGGACTGAGGAGTATAGAGAGGGACAGCTCAGTAGGGCCTTGAGGAGTGGGGAATGTGGACTGCTCTCTACAGGCTGTGTAAGCCTGGACCATGGAGAACAACAGGCCTTCCAGCACCAAACTAAACACCCAGGGAGTGCAGAACATTCCAGAACAGCCTGGCTTCTGAGCTAAAGTAAGTTAACTGTTCAGAAAGTTGGTGGTTTAGACCAACCATCAGTTCTATGGGAGAAAGATCTAGTCATGTACTTACATGAAGACTATAGCCAAGAAAACCCTATGGGCCGTTCTGCTCTATGGCATGGAATGGTCATGAGTTGGAATTGACCCAACGGCAACAAGCTTTGTTTGGTGGTGGTACCGTCAGGTTGGTTCCAACTCATAATGACCCTGTATATACAGGGCTTCTGAGGTTATAAATCTACAAGAAGAGAAAATCTCTTCTTTCTCCCATGGAGCAGCTAGTGGATTAGAACTGCTAACCTTGAGGTTAGCAGCCCAACATGTAACCCACTATGCCACAAGGGCTCCTTAAGCTATGTGTTGTTGTATTTGTTGTTAAGTGCTGTCGACTCAGTTCCAACCCACAGCAACCCTGTTATAGGATTTCTGAGGAGCATCTGGTGGATTTGAACCACTGACCTTGCAGTCCAGTGCATTATCCAGCAGCTATGTGTAGGGTAGGAGTCCTGGTGTGGCATTGTGGGTTAATGCACTGGACTGCAAGGTTGGTTTGAACTGCAAGATCAGTGGTTCAAGCTCACCAGCCTCTTTTCGGAAACCCTGTTACAGGGTTGCTATGAGTCAGAGCCAACTCAACAGTACTTAACAACAACAAATATGTAGGGTAGTGATTATTTAAATGTTTTTCTCCTGCAAGGAAATACCTTAAAGTAAAACTTTATACAGACTCTCAATATTTTCAAGAGAAAAAGGGAGTCAGTTTGATAAAGTTGGGGGCAGAGGTCCAGTGAGCCTCCTTTCTGCCAGCCTTTATAGAATCCTGAGAACGCAGCGTTGAAACAACTGGGCAGAGGGTGAGAGGGAAAGATTGGAAGGGCAGGGTGGAACAGATGTGCCAAGTTCTCTTCTGTTGGGTGGTCTCCGGGAACCTGGAAGTGGGACTGGCTGGAAGTTTCGGAGCAGGCAAGTGATAGGATAAAAAGCCTGTTTTAGGAAGGCAGGGGCCAGCCACCCTGCTGAGAGGGCCCTCAGGTAATTTATTTTTCTAACACTAGGTGACACTGTTTTCTTTTTTGAAAGCATTCCTCTGGCTAGGAATGTCTGACAGGGAAAACGAACAAGCCCTAGCAATTTTCTTTGGCAAGGTAGTACCATTTCTTGGTATCTCAGAGATAATCTGTGTCCAGGATGAATTAGAAGGGGCAATGGCGAGAAGGAGGCCCAGGGAGGGAAGCAGGTGTGCCAGCCATCTAGTGCCCATGGCAAATGAGGAAACCAAGGCCCCAGGAAGTGACTGCTTAAGACTCCAAGGCTAGAAGGAGCAGGACTGGAGCTATATATGGAGAACTGCAAGTCGCTTGAACAGAGGGGACATTTAAAACGTTGAAGCACTGCCCTGCACAAATGGTGAGGAACATGCCTGTCTGCTTTCCCATCTTCTCTCACCTGAACAAACCACATGCTGGTTCTAGAGGATGTGGGGGCGCTGGACTCTGAAGTGAGACTAGCGTTTTACACTTCTTCATTCCAGTTTTTAAAAAACACTTTGCGGCAGTCAACACTTATGTATTTATGTTGAAACAGAACAAGAAAACCAAAAGTTTCAGGACTGCCATGGCTGACAATTTGGTATCTGTCCTCCCAACCTTTACTCTGTCTCAGGACAAACCAGTGGTGTGCTGACAAGGCTCGGGTGGCAATTTTGTCTTTCAACACTTCAAAGGGCATATGGCTACTTGGGATGACTGAGGCGTGCCTCATTAATGAAGGCAGGTACTGAGGGACTTTTCAGCCCATAAATCCCTCACCACCTAGGGCACACACAACCAGTACAACATTCCCTGTAGATGGACTCACGCCTCAACATGTGAAAGAAGCTTGTGACTTAAATAAGCCAGACTTTGAGGAAGCAAGAACTCTTCTATAGAGAAAATAGCTACCCACTGCTGGCCTGGCTTATAGGGTCGGAATTCTCTAATTTACTCTGAGATCTGTGTTAAAAGCTTTTCTAAAACATTCAAGGCCACAAGAAGAACCCAGAGGGGCTGCTGCATGGCTCAAAATGTTTGCAGTGGCCCTCAGCGCTTACAGCAATCCCTGTTTCAAGATCTTCATTTGGCACATGCTTGTCAAAGTGAAATAATGTTTCATAAAAACCAAATCTGGCCAGGCTGGAATGTGTAGCATTCAGGGACCAAAATGTCAGGGCCCTCCGTAACAGTCTCCCCCCGGGGGTTGATAGATATACACCACAGGACAGTGTTTAGGTCATAGGATCCAGGGAAAAAGGCCAAGGAGGGCCCTTAACCAACTTTTCCAGTAGATGCTGGGATGACCTGTAGCTGAGACAAGGGATCCTGGAACTCCTTTGGGTCCAGTCTAGTTCATGGGAGACTCTGTCAGAGGTCTGACTCAGAGTCTCAGCTCGTAAATTAATACTCGTCTGTCTGAGCCTTGTCCTCTGGGCAGGGACAGGGCGGGAGCTATGAAAGGATACTTCGGAGACCCTGATTCTGGCCCATGACTGGTCTTCTGTGACTCAAAAACATCCCCATAACCAGCGGGCATTTCTGGCAATCCTGTAGGGATGTAAGACTGCAAATGACAGCATGAGAGCCACCACCCAGGCCCGACCCAAACCCAAACTCAGCTCCTGGGTCCACAGCCCATGCTGAGCCCACACACACACAGGTGTTCCTGCTCACAGTTGCTTCCCGGGGTTCAGTGAGCCCATGTCGATCTCTCGGTCAAATTCAGTGAGAATGTCATTGAGCGTGCCATCATCGCCAAACGCTCCCCACTCCATATTGATGCACATGCGCCCCTCATCACCTTCCACCGTGTCGATGTGGCGCATCTCCTCCATGTAGCAGGCATTGCTGCCAGTACCTGGCCAGATAAGGAACTGGTCAGTACCCACCACACCGTCCTCTACTCCAACTCCACATCTCCCTCTTACCCCACCATCCCACTCTAAGGCTGCCCAGTTGGCTGGGGGTCCTTACTGTAGAATCCCAGGGCATCCCAATACATGTCCCAATTCTCTGTCAGCCTGAACTCCACAAGTTAACACATCATCAGTGGACAGAGCATGAGGCCTTCATGTGGCACTGGATATTTTACACCACACTCTCCTACGGACCCCTTGGCACAATGCAGAAACATCACAGCTCTTGAAGGATGTCTCTGTTAGCACACCACTACATGAAAAAGAGTCGCACGATCCTTGTTCAGCCTGTCAGAGCGACTACACCACTCATCTTCAAATATAAAGTACAAAGGAACACCCAGGCCACCAACTCCTTCTCCCTTCCAGCCCTCACCTCCATCCACTGGTCAACACCAGCCCACATGCATCAGCATTCACTCACCCACAATGAGGCCAATCTCACAGTTCTGGTCATCATAACCACAGGTCATCATGGTCCCAACTGTGTCATTCACCACAGCCACAATATCGATATCAAAGTCCTGTGGAGATAAAAGGAGGCCTCTGACCTTCAACTATCACAGAAGGTTACAGCTGTGAAGATGGAGAGAAAGAGCAGGAAGTCACACAGCTCAGGTGCAGCCGGGATGCCCCTCATCACTTCTACTGAGCTGAAAACCTGGCTTCTGATCCAGCCTGACTCACTCCACTCGTCCTCACTGCAGATCCAGAAACTCAATCCACTCGTCCTCACCGCGGAAGACTTTCCACAAAGCCTCCGGCAGACTTGCTTATAACCATCACTGCACTGAGAAGAGATGGCCGTATCTTGCCTTGTCTTCTCTCTCCCTCTTCTGTGGTAAGACCTTGACTTGGTCTTCTCTCTGCTCCATGTCATACCGATGTCAACATCATCCCCACTTCAAGTCTTTTTCTGGTTTTTCTGATCCCAAGACTAAGATGATTTTATCTGCTGTGCTCATCTGAAAACTCCCACAACATCTGATCACATAGAAGACTATTGGGTAAGCATGACCAGGAGAGAAGACACGAAATCCTCACCCTAAAAGGTTCTTAGGCTGATTTGAGGGCAGACAGGGGATGACTTCAGAGCAGCCCCAGATGAAAGGAAAAGAGCCTCCAGAGCCCAACATCCCACCATGACTGCAAAGTGCACACCCAGCTGTCCCGACTCACCCCTCTTCTCTGGATTGCCTTCCGGATCAGCGCCACTACATCTTTTCCTTCCACACCACTGGACTTGAACCCCTTAGTCCATGTGACCAGGAAACTCTGGAAAATAGCCAAGTCATGATCATTGATTTCCTCCCAACCAAAATTTGGATCACACACCTGAAACAAGAACCTTTAGCAGAGACCACTGACACCGTGTTAAAGTGAAAATCATGGCGGCGTCTGTATTGTTTTCTGATGAGCCTTGGATGAAGCTGTTTGGGCCCATCAGAGACCAGGGAAGTGGAGAGGAAGTGAATGACTTCGCCATAACTGACTGCCAGAAGTAGAAAGGGGAAGTCACAGAGCTGTCAAAATCAGCTACTTGTATCCTCAGTGTCAGTGTCAGCGCCCCAAAAGTCCTCAACTTTCCAGTTACCTTTCTTTCTAGAATCATTATCATAACACAACTATTCCTGACTAATCTTAGCCCTGTTCCCTGAGACAGAAAGAGATAATGTGAAATCGAGGAAAAGAGTGGAGGGGAGTGGAAAGAAGGGTGATAAAGACCTCCCCAGATTCTGATACTTTGTCACCATCCCTTCATACACCAAGTGTTAAGGATTTAGTCATTCAGAAGAGCAGAATGCTCCCACTTTGTCTGTGCAACCCATCAGTCCTTTCCATGCTCCCAGCCCCAAGGCCTTAGCGATGAAAAGTGCAGAGCCCATCTTACCTCATCTAGCTTAGTCTGGTGGCAGGGAAACGAGAAGGTAAAACCCAGCGGGAGCTTCTTGTCTTTGATTTGTAGTTGGCCCATGAAGTTGGCCAGGCACTCGGCAATGTGGTCAAAGAGCTGAGGGCACACAATACAGGAAGATGAGCACAGACGTGAAGGATGTAGGCTGTGAACTCAGAAAGGAGCTAGCTGAATGTGGGCAAGAGCCTGACCCTTCTGAGGTCTCCTTAGCTCATGTATAAAATTGGAGTAATAATAATACCTGAGTCGATACTAGGCGGTAGTTGTTAAGAGTTGTGGAGTTGGTTCCGACTCACAGTAACCCTGTATAGTGTTTTTGACACTGTAAATCTTTACAGGAACAGAAAAATTCATCTTTCTCCCTCGAAGTGGCTGGTGGATTGGAACTGCTAATCTTGAGCTCATTAAATGTTCTTCCATTTAGAACTATTTTCCCAAACCACTGTCAAAATAATGCTGTGAGGCAGAGAAAATCATGGCCAAAGTTAACCTGGGCCCTAGGAACAGAACATCCCTTGGTGGCCCTGTCAGAAACCCCCTGACACGGGTGCACAGCTGATTATTTTACCAGAAAGGGCAAACCATCTTACAGCCAAGAATTATTTTGGCTCCCCAGTCTCTTGTGATGGGGGAGGGGACAAGGACGGGATGGGACACTGTCTGTTTGTATTCTATGAGCCAGCCTAGCAAAAATAAGCAAATTTATCTTATATATATATATATATATATATATTTTATTCCATGCTAGAAAAATAATATCCCAGTGGGAACTCAAGGGAGCTCTGTTTGTTTTCTAACTCCAAGGCAGAACAACCGGAGTCTATCTAAAAAGTCTGAAGATTGAACAGGGTTTTTTGAAGAATTAATAAGGTTTTGTGGGCAACCTTACAACCCTGATCACACTGAGCGGGACCTGCAGCTCCTAAGTTTGCTGAAAGTCCTGTTAGAAAGTAAACTATATTTACAGTAACCCAGGGTTTTTATCATCCCAAAGCCCACAACTCCCCAGGCTCCTTCTTAGCAGCTCAGCAGCATCCAGAGCAGATCACTCTCACCCAGGCCTCTGAGGTTAGGGGTGTCTGGTGCAAGATGCAAGCAGGGACCAAAGGAGTGAACAACACAACTCCAAGGGTTGGGCTAATCATAAGGCAAAATCTAAAAGGTCAAAAGTGCATGGGGAGGACAACACTTCCCCTCCTCCCCAGCAGGCAGAAGCAAGGAAGATTCCACTAGACAGCGGCTCTCAGAGTGCAGTCCTGAGCCAATAGAATCACCATCACCTGAGAACTTGTTGGAACTGCAATCCTAGGGCCCCACCCCAGGTTCACTGAATCAAAAACTCTGGGGGTGGGGCTCAGCCTTCTCCCGTGGAGCAGCTGGTAGATTAAACACCTGACTACTAAGCTACCTTAGTAAGTCCTTCTTAAATTACAGTACCAAACCACAAAACAAAGAAGAAAAATACACTACATTTAAAAGTAAATGTGATTCTCATCCTCTCTGTATACAGGGTTGATAGGGATGGGCAACTTAGACATGGGCTACCTAAAATGGGGGAGCTATAAAGGCATGAAGGGATCAGCTTACAAGTTTTCAAGAGGGTGTTTAGATTCAGAGTGTTCGGGGGACGGGGGAGAGCTAGAATCACCACTGAGTGGTTTTCATCCTGTCTAGACAGGTCTGGTGAAAGGAGATGGGACAGACTCTCATGATTCAGTAGTGAATAATTGTTATCATGACTAATTGCGATTGTAGCAACTGCAAAGGTAGAAGTTTTGTAGCAAAAAGAGGTGAGTGGTCGATCTTACAGACCTGGAACAGAGGACTCTGGGACCATTAAGGAAGAAGAGCAGGAACAGAGTGTGGGACCCTACCCAGAGAAGCAGCAACGCCAGAGATGAAGGCAGAGATGATGACATGGAGAGATGGAGCAGCTGAGGACTCTAGACTCATGGAGGGAGAGGGGATGTGTGCTGGTGACCAGGGAGCAGGCTTGCAGGGTGTGCCTTTTGGCTGTGTGTTTTGGTTCACATCCAAAAAAAACTGGAATAGAAGCAAATACTGTTGAATGATGAAGCATGCAGGGGATTATAATCATTGCAATGAAATGAATACAATACGATGAGTGTAAAACTGACGTTCCCCCATGTAAACTATCACTTGATTCACAATAAAAACTTTTAAAAAAAGAGTAAATGTTAAAACTGTAAAAGGTAGAAAGTTTGTAACAAAAAGGGGGGAGTAGTAGTTAATCTTACAGTTCAGGAACAGAGGATCCTAGGACCATCAAGAGAGAAGAGCACAGGTAGAATGTGGGACCCTATCCAGAGAAGCAAGGATCTCTGGTAGCATAGTGTTTACGAGTTGGGCTACTAACCTCAAGCTTAGCAGTTTGAAACTACCAGCCATTCCGTGGAAGAAAGATGAGACTTTCTACTCCTGTAAAGATTTACAGCGTCAGAAACCCTATGCAGGGTGGCTATGAGTCAGAACCAACTCCATGGCACACCACCACCACCACCACCATCCAGATAAGCAGTGGGAGCAGAGATGGGGACATGACGAAATAGAGCAGCTGAGGACTCTAGACCCATGGAAAAAGAAAGTCTGTGTGCTGGTGGCCAGGAGGCAGGCTTGCAGAATGTGCCCTTTGGTTGTTTAAATGAGTATATATCCCTGAGTGTTTTTGTGTACATCCCCCCCAAAAATACAGAGGGAATAGAAACAAATACTGTTGAATGCTGATGCACAGAGGAGATTACAATCATTGCAATGAAACAATGGGTGTAACACCAATGTTCTTCCATGTAAACTATCACTCAATTCACAATAAAAACTTAAAAAAAAGAAAAAGTAAATGTGAATTACTTATGCGTTAGAGTATAGACACACATTAACATGGGTGACAGGGCAGGTAATATACAATAAGGGGAGATTAACAAAGGAAAGATGAAGGTAGCGGGAGACACAGGGAGAAATGCAATAGTTAAAGTGAAGAGAGGTAAATGCTGCTAACTGTTGGTACACGGAGAAGATTGCAACCATGTAGTGTAGCAAAGTGTAGGGTTTGTTGAATGTAAAACTGATGACCTTCTCTGTAAACCTTCACTCAATTCACAATAAAAAGTTAAAGAAAACAAAAAAGTAAATGTGAATATTCTACATCCTACTTTTGTGCATAGTGACTGGGATCGTAAAAGCTCATGGAAGCCATTACAGGTGCAGCCATTGGTCTCTCCCTATCTAAAGGAAAAAAGAGTGATCAAAATTGGAATCAACTTGTCTAATGATATTTGGAATCGATTTTGTCCAATCAACTTGACGCTTGGAATCAACTAGTCCAACGGACTAATGGAACACATAAACATCAGTCTCCACAACTCTGAGACCAGAAGAGTTACATGGTGCCCAGCGACCACTACCAATCGTTCTGGAAGGGAGAAAATATGGAACAAAACTCCAAGATATGCAAAAGACAAGGCTTACTGGTCAGAGAAAGAAACATGAGACATCATCACCATCAGGTCCAGAACTGAACTTACACTCGTGACTCAACTTTCAACCGAAGCAGCAGATAAGTATACATCAGGAACAACAACACTAATGAGGTATGCACACCATGGAATGGTCAAACATTCAAGATCGAAAAGGGCAGCATTTATCTAAGGACAAAATTCAGAAGGCCGGGGAAAGAGGATGGAATGGAAACAAGAATCACATGTAGGAACTGGGATTTCGGCAATTACTACATTTAGGGGACTGCAATCATTGAAATGAAATGAAGTCTATGATTTGTTGAATGGGAAACTGATGATGTGCTCTGTAAACCTTCACTCAATTCATAATAGAAAAGTTAGAAAAAAGTAAGTATGGAATTTCAGAGGGCCACTGGCTTCCCTGATGCCTGGTGCAGGCTCAGTGGGACGGCTGCCAAAGACCCATATATGGAAGGCGGTCAGCTCTTAGTGAGCTTCCTGCATTCATCCTGTCCCTTTGTCCAGCCTGATCTTAAGCAAAATTAGCCACAGCTAATGCTGAGCCTCCGAACCAAAACATTCTAAATCTAAATCTACAGATAAAGTGCAGGCTGAGCAGTCACAGGGCTCTCTGATAAGGACAGGAAGGGTGCCAATGCACAAAGGCCAGCTCCCTTGAGCAGGGACAATGATTGTAACATGCAAATAGAGTTTACTGGAAAGATATTCCAGTTGGGACTGGATCAGAGACAAATTATCCCATGGTAAAACAAATTCCCAGCACCTTCTTCTAAAACTCCAGTCAAAATGAACTTTGGTACAAACAATTTTTACCAAAAGAGGGAAGTTGTAGGATCTGTGCAAATACAATCATTAGGGATTGTGGAGGCATTCAGAAAGAGGACAAGCAAATGTTTACTGCTCACCCAGTCCTGACCACTTCTCCTCCCTTTCACTTGTGCTTCTAACAAATTATTGTTGTTAAGAGCCATCGAGTTGGTTCTGACCCATAACAACCCTGTAAAGGATTTCCAAGGAGTGGCTGATGAGCTTGAACCACCAACCTTATGGTTCAAACCAACTTTGCAGTCCAGCACATTAGCTCATAGCACCACACCAGGACCCCAACAGATAGAGGCAGAGAAACAACAGAGGAGTGGTGAAAAGGCATAAATACGACATTCAAGTTCTTGGGTAAGAATGACACGAGGGGCGGAAAAAAGATTCTCTCCTTAAGAAGAACCCTAAAAGATTCTTACGCTGATTTGAGGGCAGACAAGAAAGACTTCAGAGTGGGCCCAAAAGAAAGGTAAGAGCCTCCAGACCCCAAGCAAAGACAAAAGGTTGGTAGCTTGATCCCACACAGAGGCACCTCAGAAGGAAGGCCTGGCAATCTGATTCCAAAAGATCACAGCCGTGAAAGCTCTGTGGAATACAGCTCTGCTCTGCACATAAGGCGTTACAATGCGTCAGGGTCAAACAACAACAACAAGTGGTATTTGTTGTTGTTGTTCAGTGCCATGGAGTCAGTTCTGAGTCAGCAACCCTGTATAGGGTTTCCAAGGCATGCTGGTGGGTTTGACCTGCCGGCCTTGTAGTTAGCAGTCCAGTGCTTATCCT